CTGCTAACATAAAGCTAAGCTGCTAACCTGAACCTACGCTGCTAACATAAAACTAAGCTGCTAACGTGAAGCTAAGCTGCTAACATGAAGTCAAAACATTAAAGTAAACAATAGGTATAAACATTAAAGTTTTACAAATCCAGGAAACAGAAGTGCAATAAGAATTAACGGTACATTTTTCTATTCTCATCCTGTAATAAAATACTTCGTACTAATACTCTAAACAACTGAAAAACAACAACAAGAAGAAGAAGAAGGTGTGAAGTTCAATTTGAACAGAACAGTAAAAAATACCAGGAACTTACCCAAAAAACCAGACGTTCCAGCTCCAACAGTATGAAGTATTTGTGCAGTAAAACCAGATGTACTTGGGCAGGCCTAAAGCAGAGGAGAGAGAGTACTTTAGTACTGACAATATGTGTACTTGTTGTAGTACACTTTGAAGACACAAGATATTTTACCAAGATGAAAAACATAAACATTAAAAAAGTGAGTCATGTAAAAATGAAGCTACGCTGCTAACATAAAGCTACGCTGCTAACCTGAAGCTACGCTGTTAACATAAAAACTACGCTGCTAACGTGAAGCTAAGCTGCTAACATAAAACTAAGCTGCTAACCTGAAGCTAAGCTGCTAATATAAAGCTAAGCTGCTAACCTGAAGCTAAGCTGCTAAAGTGAAGCTACGCTGCTAACCTGAAGTCAAAACATTAAAGTAAACAATAGGTATAAACATTAAAGTTTTACAAATCCAGGAAACAGAAGTGCAATAAGAATTAACGGTACATTTTTCTATTCTCATCCTGTAATAAAATACTTCGTACTAATACTCTAAACAACTGAAAAACAACAACAAGAAGAAGAAGAAGGTGTGAAGTTCAATTTGAACAGAACAGTAAAAAATACCAGGAACTTACCCAAAAAACCAGACGTTCCAGCTCCAACAGTATGAAGTATTTGTGCAGTAAAACCAGATGTACTTGGGCAGGCCTACAGCAGAGGAGAGAGAGTACTTTAGTACTGACAATATGTGTACTTGTTGTAGTACACTTTGAAGACACAAGATATTTTACCAAGATGAAAAACATAAACATTAAAAAAGTGAGTCGTGTAAAAATGTAAACATGAAGCTACGCTGCTAACATGAAGCTAAGCTGCTAACATAAAGCTAAGCTGCTAACCTGAAGCTACACTGCTAACATGAAGTCAAATCATTAAAGTAAACAATAGGTATAAGCATTAAAGTTCTACAAATCCAGGAAAAAGAAGTGCAATAAGAATTGTGCAGTATATTCTACTGGGTCGATGGGCAGGACTCCACACCACAGGTTCGTCCCTGTGGCTGTGGGAGAGAGGGGGGAGTGAAGTGTTTGTGAGGGTGAGAGGAGTGGGAGGAAGGATGAGAGTGGGTGAAGACAGCGACAGTGGGAAAACATCCAGAAAACCACTCAGTGAGCGTTTGTTGTTTGAGAAGAAAGGAATGAAAATGTGATTCTATGGAACTGTGGTTCACTGTAGAAGTAAGGCAGTAGACATCAGTTAATGGGCGCCGCCCTGCTGACGAGTCTGAGAACAGTGTCTGCAACTGCTGCTCTGACAGGAAGGATGGATTTAAAACAAGACTTTCCCCTCATGAGAGGAAACTCCGACTCACTGACAACTCACTATTCAAACACACACACATACACAGAGAGGGTTATAAACTCAGATGAATTAACCCTGCCTCGCCCCAGCGTTGCCATGAAACACCACATGTTTTGGGAAGCTCGGCTGTCTGAGTTTCTTTTTTTTTTTTTTTTTCCACTCCTTTGAATGGAATCTCAGAGCGACTGAACGACGACGACGACGACTGCAGAGGCAGAAAGGACAGAAATGTAGCTGCTCTGGTCAGTGTTTGACTACAGACACTGAGTACAAGTCAATGACACAAACACACACATCAGGTCCAGAGTCCAGCTGTGTTATCATCAGTGTCAACATAATCACCTCAAAAACCATAAAATATACTGTACTTAAGGCAGATGATTTTAAAGCTGATCAGATTTGGTTGTAGTTGTTGTTGTTGTTGTTGTTGTTGTTGTTGTTGTTGAGTCACGGTGTCAGGGTTAGTCAGGTGGTTATATTGGCATTGTCATAAAGTTGATTTAATGCTAGTTTTCATCAACTACATAACGTTAAGTTGTTGTTGTCATAAAGTTGATTTAACGCTAGTTTTCATCAACTACATAACGTTACATCATTAATTTTTTGGCTAACCTTTAACTGTTTTCTGACCGTCCCTAAATTCCCAGGTCGGTCTTTAAAGCAGATTTCCTGATTGGTTCTGTGACTCAGAGCTAACCTTTAATCTAATGATACATTACTTATAATTATCAACTCTGTTGACTTTTCCTGATTCTGCCCATTTTCACACAGTGGAAAAAATGTGTCAATTATTGTAATGATTAACATTCTCCTCTCTGATAAACTACCTCCTGGTTTAACTTATTAGGTTATAAAGAAATAGTTTACATTTAACCAGCAGCAGCGATGACTCACGGGTCATGAATGCATGCACATCTGTAATTATAGAAAAAATGTTCCTGCTACAATATCTGTCAAAGCTGAACAAAACAGAGCCGTCTCTCAGGGAGACACCACAGCGTGACTCACTGTTGCCCCCTCAGCCTATCACAGCCGGTGGTATCACTGTGTCAACAGACCACGCCCAGAGCCTGCCATCACACACAGTTATTGCCCTCTCTGCTCTCAGTCAGGACACACACACCCTAGGTCTCCACACACACTCCTCCTCCTCCACCACAGCAGCAGCAGCAACAGCAGCTCGTCCGACAACATGTGCACAGGAAAGTGTTCCCGCTTCATCGCTCTGACCCTCTACCCGTTGGCCGTCCTGTCCATCATCTGCAACATCGTGCTGTTTTTCCCCGGGGGGGAAGTGAAGTATGCTAAAGACGGACACATCACCGAGGAGGTGAAATACATGGGGGGGCTCGTCGGAGGGGGCCTGATGGTGAGTGGACTTTTCTCTTGCCTGTGACCGATGGGCGTGACCCCGGGGCCTCTAGACGGAAAACTGACCAGAACGTTGACTTGATTACACGGTATTTGTTAAACATTTGTGATAAAGTCAACAATTTAGCTCAGAGGCATCAGCTTAAGTGTCTATATTTTGCTCTTCCTCATGGGGGCGACGTTTGCTTCCTCTGACGTTTTGTGGCTTTATAAAAAAAACAACAACAGTGAGCTTGGAGTTTGCACCGTTTGTACGTCATCAAAGACTCCTTGTTTTTGCCTAACATAAAAAAACAAATTTAGGAGGAAAAAAAAAGAAAGTGCCCCTTGTGGGGAAGCAGAGTAATTACAAATCTCTGCTGATCTACTTCCATCATAGGTAACATTACGAGTATGTATATATATATATATAGATTTCTTTTGATAAATTGCATGTTTCCTGCTGCAGGTGTTGCTGCCAGCTCTTCACATCCACCTGACAGGAAGTAAGGGCTGCTGTGGGAACCGCTGCGGGGTGAGTCACCGCAGTTGAAGGGAACAGTTACTAACGCCACTGATTAACAACGACACAAAGGGAACTTGTTTCCAGAGATAAGATGTAATCTCTTGGCTCTGGTCCTATTTGAATTTGTGCGAACAGGTCGGTCAACGGAGGAGACACGTGAGCCGCGGGCGCGTCACATGACCAGAGCAACAACACAGTCTTAGAAACATTGTGACACCATCTACAAATGAGAGTCACTTGACAGGTCAACAACAGCAGTGGTAAACAGGGCGGAACAGTAAAGGCGCCCCCCACTGGTCTGTATGTGAATGGGTCTCATGGAAAGACAATTATTCATTCATTCACATTGGACAATCTACAAAGAGACCGGGAATCGAACCAGTGAACCAGTGGTCTTCTTGCTGTAGGGCAAGAACATCGACCAATCATCAGTCTGTACTAGTGTCAGGGCCGCGCCTTGACGAATGACTCGAGATTTGAATCTGTGCCAACACACACACACACACACACTCTGTGTTTACGTCTCTTCTCCACTCCTGCGTTCCCGTCATCGACCACAACACTTTTAACAGACGCAAAATCTCTTTAACCTTTAAAATAAATATCTACTATATTCAATGTTAATGATGAATATTCTTAGGTCAGGAGAAGTTAGCCTGAAGGATACTGGGCTCTGGCTCTAACATTTCATCTCATGTCCTTTCTGTAGAAACACATTCTAATTTGAATTTAAAATTCTGAAAGATTGTGATCAAGCAGTGGGTGGAGGGTGAGGCTGAGGGTGAGGAGGAGGGAGGAGGAGGACAGGGAGTGGTTTGAGGATGTGATGTTGTAAAGGGCAGCTGACCTGATCGTGACCTTTGGCCTCTCCTCAGATGTTGTTATCCATCGTCTTCGCCGCGGTGGGCGTGGCCGGCGCTCTGTACAGCTTCATCGTGGCGGTGGTTGCTCTTCAGAACGGGCCTCTGTGCAAAGTTCTGCTGATCTGGTCCACACCCTTCAAAAACGGGTAACGCACAGAGGACGCAGACGTGATTCCAGATGAAAAAAAAAACAAAAAAAACAAAACAATCATTAACAGAAAACTAAGTTCATGTTTTTACCTTCAGCGATCAAAAGTATCTCACCGATGACACCTGGTGGGGAACCTGCACCGAGCCCAAGAACATGGTTCAGTTCCACATTGGGCTCTTCGCCACCCTGCTGGCCACCAGCTGTCTGCAGCTGATCCTCTGTGCCACCCAGATGATCAACGGTCTGGTGGGCTGCCTCTGTGGAACCTGCCGGGACAAAGGGGTGAGACGGAGCTCAGCTCATCTGCACCTCAAACCACCAGCAGGAAAATTTTAACTCTTCTTGTTTTTTTTTTATTTCCACTTACAGCCACTGTGAGCTCCTTGACGTCCAGATGGCGCACCCTGCTGGAAGAAGTCTGTATCTGTCTAAAATATTCAGTTAAATCAGAAATGTCCAAGCTCTTCTTCAAAGGCCTGACTCAAAGAAAGTGCATTAATTACTTAATTAAAAAAATTAATATAATACAACAGGACCAACAGCGCCTCTGGGAGGCGTACTGTGGTATTCCATTTTTTTAAAATATCAACAACATTGACATGAATGGCTTTTCAAAAAATTATAGGCTAACTATAAGAAGGTATCTTTGGTTTTTACAAAACTAAAAAAAAAAGATTACATGGTTCTGGGTCCAACTAATTCCCATTTTATTGCTTATGTATTTAAATGTAAATGTTTGCAATGATGTTAAAATCTAAATTTGGGGTATTTTTACTTCTTCTTACAACAAAATAAAATGTTGCCAAACAAGGAGTAAATAGAAAATATAAATAAAATACATTTAAAAGTTTGCAAAGTTTCAAGCAAAATTAACTCTTAGTTTTTTACAACAGCTTAAAGCTAGCCAAAAAAATAAGGTCTGAGGTCTCGCATAAAAACTGAGTTCCCTCGTTGACGCTGGGCCATAAAAGTACATGAAAGTACATGAAAGTCCCCGGGCCAGACTTTGGACACATCCGACTTAAAGGATGTCCGTTTAAAAAAAATATTTTCTTTTTAAATAAATATATAGTTTAGTATAGTATATCACGATGTTTCTGTTAATTCCCTGTTTTTATCTGTTCAACATAAAAGTGTCAATTAATGGTATAAATCTGCAGTTGTTCAATTTTTATTAAAAGGTTTTGAAAGATATACTGTTTGTTTTTTAACCTTCTTCTACCGTAAGTACGTTTCCCACGAAAATGACGGAAATTGAAAAGGAGCGGGAAAAAAAAAAACAACCCACGTCGAGGTCTAGTTCTACAGACACGTTTAATTTAGCTAACACGTTACAATGTCGAGTTAGTCGTAATACTAACGGCAACAGGAGCGTCAACACAGGAACAGAAAAACAACACCAACATATGGAGTGAGGTCAAGTATTAGAATGTGGCTGTTAAAGAAGATCTTAGTGTGCGTTTTTTCTTCAATATATCGTTGTGCTTATACCATCACAGTATAAATCGCAGTATATCATATTGCTGCCCCTGTACTGTCGTAGAGTGAAATTAAAATCTCTTGGCAAATTCAGTCTAGCTCATTTAAAAATCTAAGCAAAACATTTTTTTCAGCAAAACATATTTTTAGCTTTTCTCAGACTATTGGTAGAGTAAAAACAAACAAAAACATTTGAGGCACATTAAAAGAAACCTTCAGAAATTGTGATATTAAACTGTGATATTAAAATATGTAACTTAACTTCTTACTTGTACTTTTTTTTTTTTTTAATTTGACCATTAACGATATGAAATGGTTAATTTCTGCTGCTGGTTCTAAACCAGTGCCAGAACGTCTCTAACTGGTACTTCAGCAGAAACAGAATGTCAGATAAAAATACGTCTGTGATGATACGACTTTGTTGAGGTAGACAGACGTTTGTGTGCAACTACTGCGGAGTGTTTTTTTTTTTTTTACCTAATTCTTAAAAACAAAGATCTGAACAATCTAAAAATAGGCTGATCTCATTTAAAAGACATAAACATGATGTCAGAACTATTTTAAAATCCAAACAGGAGTGTGTCTGATGAATTGAACACAGAAAACAATAGAAGCCCCCCCACGCCCACGCCCACCCCCAAAAACACGTTTAGCTGCAAATCTACCACTGGAGAACTCATTTTTTGCCTACTGTTACTTTTTGTTAGTTTTAGGAGTCAAACTGTTTCATCATAAGTTTACGGCTGGCCTCGTAGCCAAGGAAAAGGGCTCCGTTAGCAGGAAAGGTACGGACCATGGTGGGGGTCAGACCAGAGTATAGCGCCCTCACACCTGAACACAAAAACATCAAATACTAAAGTCTCAAAGATGGAACACGTTTGAAACAGATCAGAAAAGACAAAGAAAATGTTGAGGCTGGAAAGACAAGAAAAAAAAGAAAAGAAAAAAAAACTCCTCGTGTTCCTACCTTCACTTCGAGCGATGGTCATGAAGGTTTTGAAAAAGCCGGCCTGTTTCCCGGTCATAGACATGACCTGGATCCTGGACTTGACGCAGTCCATGGGGTAGACTATGAGCCACAGACAGGCCCCCCCGAAGCCCCCGCTGAACATGATGGGAGCCACACCTTCAGGATTTAACAATAAACAAAAAAATATGAGAAAACAACACAAACACAGTAAACAGCAGACAGTAGAAGAGGAAAAGTAGCAGAAAATGGTAGAAATATGCTACGTAAACTTAAACACGTAAAAGTGTGTCATACAATACATAAATATGCACCTATATAAACACATATATATATAGTACATATACACATATATAGAAATACATTTTTACTTTACTATAGTTTTTAGCTAAACTGACAATGAAACTAACTTTTATTTTTCTGCAACAAAATCCCCCGGTGCTGATAACAGTCTTTGAGTTTTTATTCAATTTTTATTTCCAGCAGGGGGCGTGATATTACTGCTCTGTTTGGGTGCGGTCCTTACCTATGTCATCCTTGTCACACTTCATGTAATCTGCAAAGGTAGTGCGGGAAAGTTCATAGGCCCCAAAGAAGCAGAAGTAACCGGGGACCTCTCTGGCTATGGTGGTGGTCAGACCCTGGAAGAAGCCCTGTGGCCCCTCGTTCTTCATGATGGACTTCACCACGGACCACACTGTGCTATAGAGAGAGCGGGGGGGAGGGGGGGTTCATGACAAGTGGTCATTATACTGTAAATGTTGGGTTTTTTTTACTTTAAAGTCTAGGCAGTGAAAAACATTCCGTTCCAAAACCATATCAGACTCAGTGATAAAGAATATAAAACATCCTGACCAATCAGCAAGCACTGAGCAGTCATGTGACAAGAAAGAGCTGTCAACCAAGTCTGGCCACAAAAACTCTTCACATACAGTGGCTTGAAAAAGTATTCATACCCCTTGAACTTTCCCACATTTTCTCACGTTCCGACCACAAACATAAATATATTTTATTGGCATTTTAGATAAAAGATCAACATAAAGCGACACACAATTGTGAAGTAGAAGGAAAATTATACATGACTTTAAATTGTTTTTAGAAATAAAAAACTGAAAAATGTGGCGTGCAAAAGTATTCAGCCCCCTTTTCTCTGAGTGCAACCAGTTGCCTTCAGAGGTTGCCTGATGATTGCTGAATGATCAGCTGTTGACCTACTGATTAAATAGAGTCCACCTGTGTGTAATCTAACCTTAGTATAAATACACCTGTTCTGTGACAGCCTCAGACGTTTGCTAAGAGGACACTGGTCAGTGAACAGCATCATGAAGTCAAAGGAACACACCAAACAGGTCAGGGATAAAGTTGTGGAGAAGTTTAAAGTTATGTTTGTGGTCGGAACGTAAGAAAATGTGGGAAAGTTCAAAAGGTATGAATACTTTTTCAAGCCACTGTATTGTTGTGGAGAGGTTTTTATCCCTGACCTACTTTTTCAAGCCACTGTAACATTACAGGAGTCAGTGTAAGTGCAGTTTCTTTAAAGGCCACAAGAGGGCGATGTTTACCATATTATTACATAGACCACAGGTTTTTTTTTTAACTAGTGGTGTAGTTAAAAACGAATTATGTCGGGACTTTGTTATTAATTCATCTGTGTATTGTATGTGTTTTTATTAAAGACCAACTTACTTCTGACTCTTAGCGATTTTCCCAGACGTCTCCATCTCATACATGGCTTGCAGTCGACACTTGACCAGTTCAGTGGGGCAGAGAACCAGTGAGGAGAAGATGGAGGCTACAGATCCAGCACAGGCTTTTTGCACATCACTACCAAAAAAAAACAAAAAAAAAAGTATATAAGTATATAAGAAGTTTTTCTTTTTTTTTTTAGGGTCGTCAAAATTAATTTATGATATTATTGTGAATCATTTTAAAGAACACACTGTCATTTGACTACATGTATTATTTATTATTATTTGAATACACCGCCTCTATGAAAAGACAATTTCTCTCTGACTGTTGGGACATTTTTATGGACATTTTTCCACATTAATAATTCCACCATTTGGATTGGTCACAGATAAAAACAGGTGAGAAACACTGACCTCTAGCTGCTGAATATTGGCATTTCTGCTCCAGCAACACAGAAAATCTTTTTATTTTTTTATGTTAAGGAATGTTGATTAATCTTATTTTATCCTGATTCATCCACTGCTACACCACAATTCAGCTGATTAAAAATTGTAATCGCTATTTTAATTCCACACAAACAAGAACAACAGGCTGGAGAACAACTTACGTCAGTGCAGCTTCACGTTCCAGTCCGGCCGCGAAGCGAATGACCTGCTGGCAGAAGCCGTAGCTCATGAAGAGCACAGAGTTCTCGGCGATGTTGGCCATGAGGGCCGGTGAAGTGCCCTGGTACAGCCCACGGAGACCCACTTGTTTGTAGGTGGAGACAATGCAGTGGACAAAGCTGCGGTAGAGAGTGGGAAAAGTCTGCATCTTGACTTTGGCTGTGTCCAGAGGCTGACCGCTGAAGACACACGCTGCCCCCCCTGGACAAAGACAAACAGAGATATTGTTTAGAAAAATAAAGAAAAAAAGTGTGTCCAGATACTGTTGGTGTTGGAATCACAGGTGGTTTTAGTTGGGGGGGCGGGGGGGCAGTGACTGTATTTACCTACGGCTCCTGCAGAGAGGTCGATGATGGCCTGCATCACTGGATGTGGAGCCATGGTGTCCAACAAGTTGTAAGAAGAGGCTCTCTTTCTCTCAACTACCTGATTTAAATGAATTAAAAAAATTTAAAAAAATAAATAAAACAAGAGATTTGATTTCAGTTGATGAATTTTGTTTACATTTGTTTTACATTAATGTATTTGTGCATATATATAAAAACAGGAGAATGGAGAACAACAGATGTATAAACAGCACAAGATGCTGAGGCTTTTCAAACTGGCTACAATGATTTATTTTACTTGTCACATACTTATGATAAAATAAAATTATAAAAAATTCATGACGATCATTACAAGGTATCACAAAAACTATTTCTGTTAGACTTTCTCCCCACTGTAGTAAATCTAGGCTGTGATTTATCTGAATGACATTATAGTTATGATATGATTTCTAATAGTTTCTAAGCTGAGAGATCGAGCTTTAACATCAAACCGATTTTACTTTATTTTCATGGAAATGTACGACACAACCGTGTATCGCCTATCAATTCAATGTCCACATGACCGACGGTACAAACTTTGCTCAAGAATGTATCAACATCACTCTAAAAATAACAGTGACAACGTTCCTAACTGGTAAAATGCACAACAAAAACAAAACAAAGCTACGCAGGCTGTGTAGCATTCTGTATATTCACGTATATCGCTGATCTGACGGTATAATTGGTTAGAAAGTCCCCCTCCCCCTCCCAAACTAACCTTCAAAGTGGAGCACAGCCGTGACTCCAGATCATCAGCGTGTCTCCTCGGACGCTCCTGCAGCGGTAACCGTCGTTGACTTCACTGTGAACCGTTAAACGAACAGCGGGAGACTGGGAGCACGCTAACCTTCGGTGCACCACCACACAGCCACGGGTTATCTTCATGTTATCTGCTGAGCAGCATCTTTATTCCTCGTGTCCACGCTGATCCATTAAACTCAGCAAAACTCAATGAAAATGACCAGACAGCTGCGATTGGTCGAGGACACTCCAGAGGTTGTCGTAATGTTACGTATGATGGCCATGAAGGACAGAAGCGCTCACTCCGCTCCAAATTCAAGATACAAAGTGTGCCTTTGCGTGGCAAAAATGGGGCTTAACATTAAAAAACAAAATCATTTACTCATGTAACGTTGACTGGCGATAACAGCGGCGACAGTAACTAGCTATCGTCAGTAAAAGGCAGACGTTTTTAGCTGCTAGCTAGCAGTAGCTGCTAGCTAGCGGTAGCTGCTAGGGAGCTTTTTAACTGTGGGTACAGCGTTTTAAAGTTCGCAGGCATTTTGTATTGTTCACTCACGATGGGAAAATAGTATAATTCATTTCACAATAGCAAAAGAATCCTTGCTTCGATTCCGAGTCAAAAGTTTTAAATATAACTTGGTCAAACTAAGTAAAGATCGAACGAGGTGGTCGTCATTTCACTTACGATCTGTGATATAAAGCAAGGGTATCTCTTCCGGTTCAAATCCTTAGGGTGGCTACGGCTGTATGTGGTCTAGTGACATATTGCGCCCTCTAGTGGACCGGAGTGTGATAGCTAGCCAGACGGATGGATGTATGGATAGATAGATAAATAGATGGATTTTTTGTAAAAAATAAAAATAATTCTGCAATTGAAATAAACCCTTAAAGACTAAATGTTTTAGAGTCTTTAGAAAGTAAGTGAAATAAATAATTAAGGAAGACAATAAGACACTGACTACATATCAGTACGTGAAATGTACTTTTTTAAAAACATGTTTTTAGTGTGGGCTCTTGTCCATCAGTATGTCAAATGTACCTTTTTTTTTTAAACATGTTTTTAGTGTGGGCTCTTGTCTATATTCATTTTGCTGATGTAGTCATTTCCAAACCCTGTTTGTTCTTTTCCTGCAGAAAATCAACAGTAATCCATTTTGCTCCAAACCTCCACATAGGCTGGAGTGATGACTAAAGGTCACTGTGGGACTGAAGGAATTGTTGTCGTAACAATTAGGCTAAATTATCACTGCCAGTACTGCTTGTGTATACAATAACGCTTGTGAAAATATATACAACACATGGCTCCATTAACATCAACAATTTAATCTTAATAACCTTTTTGAGGTTTGTGTAACTGTTTACTCTAAACTGACCGTAGGTGTGTGTGTCCCCACGGCTGCTGTGTTCAACACATGGCTCCATTAACATCAACAATTTAATCTTAATAACCTTTTTGTCTGTACAGTCTGTTCTGTGTCATTACTGAAGTTAAAGTGTATTAAACTGGTCCTGTTGTGACTGTTCATTACTGTGTCCATCATCATCATCATTATTATTATTATTATTATTATGTGTTGGTGACCTTGTACCTAAATTCCCACTTGGCTGTTTTTTGTTTTACTTATGGGCTGAAATGCTGCCAAAACACCATCTGTTTAAACAGAGGGATTAAACACGTGCACCTCCTGTCTACTAGCTTAGCCCTAAAAACCCAGACCAGGGACGGCTTTAAAGAGTCTGAGGAGAGTCACTAATTAGCAGGGACAAATCGCTAGGAAAACCCAATATAAAAAAACCCAATATATATATATATATATATATACACACACAGTATAATGTTCTATATATATATATATATATATATATAGAACATTATACTGTGTGTGTATATATATATATGTATATATGTGTATATATGTATGTGTATATATATATATATGTATATATATATATGTATGTGTATATATATATATATATATATATATATATACATATATATATATACATACACAGTATAATGTTGCAGATCCATTCACACTTGTAGGTTCAAAGACACAGATTGCCATTATTTCTTATGCCACTTTGCCTTTTATCAAAAACAAAACATTGACTTTGTCTACATCACAGACAAGAATCATCAATATTCTGCGTTTAAACAATTTATGCCATGAAGAAGAATCGACCCCATGCCCATCCCTCCCCCGGAGCAAACTCCTCTGTACACAGTATTTTCTTTACATCCCTATAGTTCCTGTTCAGTCTTTGTACATTTTACATCATTATCAAAGTATCAATAAGGTTAAAATACATCTTTCATTGTAATGACTGTATAACTGCTGTCCTGATTGTACGTACAGTATCGTTTCCCACAGTTAGAGCCTGCTCAGTAATTTGTGTGCCTCGTTTGTTCGACGTCGTGTTACAAAAAAGTCTTAAAAGAGACGACGCCCGTCTCTGTGTTTTCACCAAAAACCTCAAATTCTAGGCAAGATTTCGGATGATTTGGAGACGAGGAGCTTTTTTTTTTTTTTTGCACGTCATGAAAATGGAAATGCATGCAGGGGGATAAAGCCATGGCGTTTACTCTGTGTCCACAGACTTGACTTCACCTGTTCCTCCACTCATCTGTACCGGAGAGTCGCATCTGCTGCGAAGTGTTTCTGACAGAGTCAGACCAGAGTCGGGTCGTTAGTGACACCGAAGGAACAGTGAAGAGATTAGAAAAAAGATCACTTTAACAAAACAGCTTCAGTGCACGAGTGTTTCCAAGTTAGAAAAGTGGAACCGGTCCACTTTGATCGGATCTAGTCTGAAAATAACCTCGTCAGTGCTGAGCACCATCTGTTGGCAGTAGTAGAGTAGGACGTGCTCAGTCAACACCACAAACACTGACTGACAAATGTGTACAAACTATTTTTTTTTCTTTAGAATTCTGCTTCAACTGTTTTTTTGTTTTGTTTTGTTTTTTTACTGCAGATGTAAAAACTTTGGCACGAGCGTCACGTTCCTCCAGCCTGGTGTCTGGGCTCATCGCCAGCAAAATACTCAACAAAATGTGTGGAAGACCTTGTTTTTCCAGGAGCTGGTAAGAATTAGAAATGACTGACACAGTAGTGAAAGACGTCTAGACACCACGAATCACAGCCAGGCACTTTTTGGATGTGAGTTTAGAGTTGGGTCAGTCAATGAGGAACCTCTGGACTGAGCAGAGTAAACGTATTCAACAGTCAGGGGTTGAAAGGTCAAATCAGGTTTCACGGCTAAACAGCATGCAGGCGGTTCAGTATTGACTCTGGATTTGGGGCTGAACGATTGGACGATTGGAGAGAGAAAAAAAATTGGAAGAAAATTCAATCTAAATGTGGGAAAAGCTACCAGTGTGAAAAAATACATCAAGAAAGCCTTTCAATATTTGTACCCTGTATAAAGACAGACAGAGCCCTGGATCAAAGCGTCTGCTCACAGCAGTCAGTGAAAGGTTTGGCACCTTAACCATCACCAGTAAACATTAGTTTGTCTTATGTAATATTCACCAACACAACCAGATTCAGCATCACTAATATCCACCTGTGGCTCTGGACACGGAACACCACCAGTTTTCAACAGCAACTTCTTACATCACCTAAGAATGAACACTTTTAGTTTGAAAAAAGAAAAAAGAAAACCCTCCATTTTAACACTTAGTTTGACAGCAGCAGGGAGTTAAAATGGAAAATAAACCGAAGTCAGAGTGAGANGGAATGTCGCTGCTTTGGAATGGAACAACCGTAGACTGAATATAGGAAATGGACATTTGTCTTGTTGCTGAAGAAAGAAAAAAAAACCCAACAGAGTTTGGTCAAAGTCATTTCAAGCATCATTTAAAAATGTTGTTCCTATTATGTCCAGCAGAGGCAGTAGAGGACGGTTCATTTAGCTAAAAATCTATCATTTTCTACCAATACTTCATTCATTCCAACCAGTGGAAGATTATTAAATAAATAAAAAAAACTAAGATTGTTATTAATCAATAGCAGGGTGTCATCTGCGTAAGACTGAATCCAACAGTACTGCCCAAAAGAACATTTTGAAGTCCATTTCTTATATTTGGTCTGTGCTCGTAAACGCAGCCAATTCTTTTGAATGTTTCGTCCTCAAACAGTCAAACAGGTCTGAAACCATGTCCTTTGTTTTGAACCCATTCACACCTTTCACCGACCAAACACACATCTGGATTATCTACGTTAACAGCAAACAGCTAACGTGTTTAAGATACGCAGATCTCTTCCTGGGGTTTTAGTTTTCTCAACATTACACGCAGGTCAGTGCACGTCTTAAATATTCTTATATATTGTCCAACGCTGAGTAAAACCAGTGGAGAACTGGAGTTACACCGGTAACTACAGGATTCAGTTCCTGTTTGATCTACAAAGAAGGGAAGGTTAAAATACAGGAACTCCTTAAAAACATGATTTCACATTAAAATCTGTACAATTTCAGG